CCATTTGAGCGATTAGATCACAAGAGTGATTCATTCTCGAATCTGGCATCATCCAGTTTTTAACAGCTGATAGAAACCACAAGACATGATTGCTGAAATATTGTCAGGAAAAATGATGCTCATGTTGTTATACTGTAATCTCCATTGACACATAAGGATTTATCAGTAATATTTTACTGGGCTCATGCCCCAGTAAACAGGGTCTAGTGATTGCCCTCTTCTAATATGGGTTTCTTTCTTCTGGTGAGCTTTTGAAGAATACCGTGGCTGTTTCATATAATAAAAGTAAATGAGGACTGTTGCTGTCCAGCTCTAAAATTACCAAAAAAAAGCACTAAAAGTATTATGTAAGTCATATGATAACATTATGTGAGGAACATATAAACATTTGGTCTTGAACTGATCCTTTAAGTCATCCATCTCAGTACTAAAGAGAGAAACAAATGGGAATGAAAGAGTACATGCAGAAAATCACACAACCGAAAGCAGATAAGACCTTTGTTTAGCACTTTTGATGTGAAAGTGACAATAGTGTTGGTTTACTAACAAGTCTTTTGTGTTGAAACAAAGGTCTGTGTGTGGGTGCGCATGTGTGACAGAGAATATATACATATACTAGTAGGATATATATTTTATAATATAATAATAATTATACACAAAAATTACTCAAGAAAAAAAGTTTATAGATAGGCCAAATCTTAATAAAATTGTATGCACATAAGTGCATTTTTATTATTGCATAATAATGTAATATATCTAAACAAATTTAGATAGTTTTATATATAACAGATGTATATAATATATATATATGATAAATGAACTGGTTTTTATGTTGATTTTAATTTACAAACAATAGAAGTCAATGTGATGCCCTCAGAAATGAAGTCAAACAAATCTGTGTGTGTGTGTGTAGTAGACGTCACTTTAATCTAACATGCCTGTTCATTTCTTCTGCCAGTGTTGAGCATCTCACATATAGGGACAGGGTGAAACAGCGATGTGACAGCGCTCCGTCCTCTCCCTCTCTCTACTCTTCCTTGCGATGTCATTTGTCCTTTTTCCCCCCTCTCTTTCTCCGCCTCTGTCTGCCTGCATCTCTCTCTTTCTCCTCTAGGAAAAGAACATCTCCTTGGTCACTGTGCATTTTCTCATCTGTTTTCTCTCGGTTTACAGAGTTGAGGCGTGTGATGCTGACAGGCTGTTAGCATTGAAGAAAACTGCTTCTGTTTCTTCTAGTTCTTTATGAACTTCTCTCCACCAAACCTGCAGATTCCATCTTCTTGCCGTAATGCAGCATACAAAACAAATATATGATGTACGTCTGTGTCTGCACAAGCCATTCACATATGGAATGAAAATGTACAACAGCAGCTGGGACCCTGCTGTTCACGTGGTGTGTACCACACACACACACACACACACACACACACACACACATTAGTTCTATGCCCACTGGGACATTGCTGACCCATGATAACCAACAGCTGTTCATGATACCACAACAAACGTATGTGATAGATAAGTAAACAACATTTTGTTGCCTTACTGTAATATGTTGGCACTAGTTATATACTAGTATATAAATAGACACGCACATAAAATGATGTTTTATTAACAAGGTTCGGCAGGAGCACAATCAACCAATTTGGCACAGATGTAACTCATTTAGCTAACCATCCTAACTAGCACAATATGTATATATATATATATATATATGCAGCCTACCTACCTCTGTCCTACACTGTAAAAAAAAAATCCGTAAAATTTACGGTAAAAAACCGGCAGCTGTGGTTGCCGTCATTTTAGGGATAGGGGGAGTTCTCTGGGTTCGGGCTATATTCCAGGCTCGGAGCCCTCCCCCAGGACAGCACGCCAAAATATGCTTTTTGTTTGCTGTCAGATTAGATGTAAGGGTGAACTCGTGAAATTATTATCCTGACAATTATGCACATATTAAATGTTAAAATTACTTCATTAAGAGGTTTGATTTGAATCTTCATTAAGAATTTGCTTGCGAGATGCTGTTTACATTTGCTTAGTGGCTTGTTTGGTTTTTATTTGTTTATGCTTGCTCTTACGGATTCTTAATTTTCTGGAAATAAATTTGGCCAGTTTTAAAGCCCTTGATGCCTATATTTTATGTGTTACAATCTCTGGGCATATGCGTGATATACTGTACTAGAATGTGTTGAACTCTGGACCAAATTAAAAACCAGCACCAAAAGATGCCCTGATGATTCATTCTACTTAATTGCACCACAACTATATTATCAGTGCATTTGCATTTGCATTGCCATGTGCAAGGAAAACTATTTTTACCCCATGAAGAACCTGTTCCAGGGTTCTTCATGGACCTATAGATGCCAATAACTTTCTGGTACTTTGAAACGGTAAGAGTGTTTCTCTCAGATTTGAATGTGTAATTCATGGACTTTAGCAGCTCTTGTGTTTTCCCGTTGTTGCGCTCTGAGTCCAGCTGAGAACAGACCTGTCTGTCAAACCCACGCGCTCTATGGGAACAGGGAGATGTGGGCGAGTGGTGAACGGTGCAGCTATTTTAAACGTAAAAGCTCCCTCCTCCTTTCTGAAGTCTTCTTTCATCCCTGATATGGACATAAAGGGGCTTTTCCTCTCCTGTGGCAGAAGATGTGGAGCAGAGTAGTGCTGTATGTTTATGCATTTATGACATTCTCTCAGCCAACCAGTGCATTCGTACTGAGAGGCCAAGTCTCAAACTTTTCCTCAACAGAAAAGTAGTTCTGCTTCACTCTTTAGATAGTTTTCTCCCTAAAATGAAAGTTCTGTCATCATTTACTCACCCTCATGTTGTTCCAAACATGTATGACTATCTGTCTTCCATGGTTCACAAAACGCAAAAACCTTATTCACTTTACTTGCATTTAACTTTTATCCATATAATAAAAGTGGTAACCAAGGTTGGCATGCTACAGAACACACAAAAACGTGACTCATCTTTTATCAATCTGCTCCACCTTTGAAATAACTTTCCTTTACAGCTGACGTCACAAATCGCTCTCACGTTTAAACACCTGGACGTAAAGCTGTGAATGCAGACTCAGCCTCCTGTCAGCCATTGTATTGGCTGAAGACTCTTCCTCACTATCCAGCTGCTGGTCCCTTCTGTTCCCCTCCTCCTCTGAGCAGAGCCCATCCCCCTCTCCACCCCTCCTCCTCTCCCTCACTCCATATATTCATCTCCCCTCCACTAAAAAAGGAATTGTATCTCTCTACATTTTTTTATCCTACTTTCATGGGCTGGGATTGCTGGTAAAGAGAGATAGAAAAGGGACTTAAGGAAATTAGGAAATTATCAGCAAGAGAAAGTCAAATAAAACTTCACATCAAACCTTCAAAACACCTTAAAATTATTTCTATACCCATGAATGGTCTATACATCTGCAAATCAGGTTTTTAAAAGTGTTATAGAATTCTAAATGAGAAGCTGAATGGGAAGTGTGAGCTCTAGCTCGTAGTTTTGCTATCTTAGGATTTGTCTCCTATAGCAGACCCTTATATAAGAATTTTGTATGTCAGCATAGCTTGTTGTTAAAGATCTATTCTATTTTGAGAGAACGGGATGCAAGCGGATGGGTGAGTGAGAGAGAAAGAGACAGAGAGAGAAAAGAGAAATAAAGAGAGAAGAAAGGGACAGGGGAGAAGAGAGGGCTTAGCAAAAGCTCACTTTCATTCAGCCTGACTTTAAACCGCTATCCAGGCTCGTGCCAAAATGAGGCAGGACTCGTGTCCTTCTGAGTGAAGGAGAGCTCACGTCCCCATTCACAGCTTTCTGCTGCAGTGTTAAAATTAAAACATCACAATAGCAAGGTTCTCTTCAATGGCAGGCATAGCGAAGAAGAAAAAACTGTTAGTCATGTGTTTTGTGTGTAGTCTTCATATTATGTGAGTTAAGGCCGGTGCTGGTTCCTAGAGCAGGGTGGCTGATATAATGCAATTTAATAAAGGCAAGTTTTCACAAATTGCACTTATTTTACAGTCAAGTTGAAGATCTCAGTAACAACAAAGGTCAAAAAACCAGCTGCACAGATGATTGGACTTTTAAAACATCTATTCAAAAAATGTATTCATATTATTATATTTTTATTTTATATTTTTTAATATATTATTTAAATAACATTATTTTTTCAACAAAAGGTGTACATAATACATGATAAAAAAGAATATATATAAAGAATATATGTGACCCTGGACCACAAAACTAGTCATAAGTTGCACGGGTATATTTGTAGCAATAGCCAAAAATACATTATACAGGTCAAAATTTGCCTATCGATTTTTCTTTTATGCCAAAAATCATTAGGATATTAAGTAAAGATCATGTTTCATGAAGATATTTTGTAAATTTCCTACCGTAAATATATCAAAACTTAATTTTTGATTAGTAATAATCAAATGTGTATTATGTATTCTCAATATTTAGATCTTTTTTTTGCACCATCAGATTCCAGATTCTCAAATAGTTTTATCTCGGCCAAATATTGTCCTATCCTAATCTCAATTTAAAAAAAATGACCCTTATGACTGGTTTTGTGGTCCAGGATCACATATATAGCCTAATTATTTTTATAACATACAGTATATTTTTCAACAAAAGGTGTGTTCACAACAAATTTTTTTTTTCTCCTTTTTTCATGGTCAGTTACAGTTGTTTCATGGCAGCCAATACTTTAATGCATGCGTCTATATGGAATATGGATTTCAAAAATAAACCCTGAGAAATATTTATTCAAGGTAGCCTGTGTGAAAGAGTCAGAGAGCACGTCACATTATGATTACATCATTGGACAAAGGCATTATTTACAACTGTTTAACGGTCCAAAATAATCCCGCTATAATTTTATAGTCTACATTACATTAATCTGATTTGCATAATGCTGGGACACCTACTAGCGGGACGCGCGCACGTGCTCCTGCTTGGTTCCCAGCTTTTGATTGACAGGCGGGCAGCAGCACGCAGGCGTGGTGAGCGCTCCCGCAGACAGGGGGCGTCAATATGGCGTCCTGAGAAAGACAACACAGCCCGACACCGCACCGATCTTCGGCTGACATCGGGAGGAGAGAGGGACCGTTTCGCCAAACGCAAGACGTGATTTCGTCCTGTGCATCCCTCTGAACGGCCGCGAGCATCGGGTTTGGATGTGCAGATCTCGGCGGAGGAGGACACCTGATCTAGAATTTTCCGTTTTCATCTGTGTTTGATGCTGCTGCTCAGTGCTCGGTGATACAAAAGCAGGTGAGACCGAGGCGACCGCTCCTTTTTGGGATTCGGGTCGGAAATGTCGAGCGAGAAACCGGTTTTGGCACCGGGTTCCGCCTCGCTCACGGACCGAGAAGCCCCCACACCAGCAGCAGCACCGCCGGGTTCGGGGCAGCAAGTCGTAACGGGCTCCGTTACCGGGGACATGATGGTGTCTGGATCGGGCGCCGTGGTTCTACCGGCCGGAGTGATAAACCCCTCGGTTCCGATCCGGAATATCAAGATGAAATTCGCCGTGCTCATCGGTTTGATCCAAGTCGGGGAGGTTAGCAACAGAGATATCGTGGAGACAGTTTTAAAACTGGTAAGCATCTGCATAGAGTGTATTGAACGCATGTTTTATTTAGCGCGCATAAGATGATGTCATATGAGAATTGATTTCTTGATCAAATGCACTAAAGCCAGAGATATTCCCTGGTGGAATGTCACCCTGTCTTTTGTTGACATGCCAGTCAGATTCATCACTGCCAGCTTCGCTTTAGGGTGACAAAATATCGCACACATAACGTCAGAATTCATTTTCCCAGCGTACTATTACACAGTGGTCGCTGCGTTTATTTGCAGTGCCAAATGACAGTGTATCAACACGCCGGCCTGCAGCAATGACTCGCCAAATAAGGGAATGCATCTTTTCTACTAGCAGAATATGCTGTTAGATTCATAATTCTCGCCTAGAGGACATACTAAACATAAGTCTTGTGTTATTAAACGGTATTTCCCAATATGGATTCGGCTTTTGATATGTAAATATGACTGGTGGGTAGATGTTACGCGACGCAGCCATACATGGATTAATTCCCATAGATGTACAGCAGTGTGGGTGTAATTAATATTCAGATCGCGTTAACGTGCCGTCTGTGATACTCGTTATTTTTAAGCTGTAATGGTATGCTGTTTGTGTTTTGGCACCTGTTATAGCCTCATCTGTGTCGATATGGCTGCTGTTTTTGCTCATGGAGGCCACAGGCTGGTGAGCGAGGTGGATTAAAGCTGGCTTTAACTGAATTCTTGTTATGAAACGGCTTAGAAAACGTATTAACACAGATTCAGTCATGCGCGCTGAATGGGATGCTGGGAGCACAGTTGTTTTGAAGGAAGGGACGGAGAGGTTTTTTTACCGACGTCCTTATCAATAATTACAATTGGCTGAGCCAGGCCTTCTTAAAGGCTTAAGTTCACTCAAAAATGAAAATTCTGTCATTAATTACTCACCCTCATGTCGTTTCAAACCAGAAGCTACGAGAATACGTTTTGTGCACAAAAGAAGAAAGAAAAGACTTTATTCAACAATTCATCTCCTCCGCATCACCCTGGTGCCATTTTGGAGAATATCTGCTGGACGTAAACACTTTCAGTCTGGACTGGACTTGGGAACATTTCAGTTGCGTTGCTGTCTATGCAGGGTCAGACAGCTCTCAGATTCCATCAAAAATAACTTAATTTGTGTTCCGAAGATGAACAAAGGTCTTACGGGTTTGAAACGACATGAGGGTGAGTAATTAATGACATAATTTTCATTTTTGGGTGAACTAACCCTTTAAAGCGCTACTAATGGAAGCAGGTTGCCAGCAAGCACCAAACATTTTTACATGTCACAACGTTGCAGTCAGGTAACGTCACACTGAAGAAAGTCCAAGAAACCACACCACGAATATTAGAACGTCAATAAGGGTTCTTTACTATAAAAAATCCAACATGGAATGTTTTAATCTTTACATTTCAATGAGACGTCTGAACGAGTAACGTCTTTTTTTCAGCTTAGCCTACAAACTGGCTTAGTTCAGTGGCAGATATGTTTGAAAAAATGACAAACATTTCATCGTGATTATTGATATCGTTTCGTCTTTGTGAATGGAAGAATGGATGTTTGAATGGTTGAAACGAAAACGAGCTGCGAACGCACAGAGAGTTTGACAGGAGGACAGGTTTTCTGAGGTAACACTTTTACCTCAGGATGTCTGAAAAGTTTTGAAAATACCTCGTGAGAATAATGTCTTGAGGACATTTAGGTGTAAGCTAACATTTTTAAGAAGGTAGCCTATATATAGTATCTGCCCCTAAAACCGCGGAAGAGCACTTGCTAGCAACCAATGTTTATGCAACATTGTGAAAACTTATTACGTTAAGCATCTCTACATTTGTCGTAGGATTAAATGTTATCGCAACCATTCCACGACTTGGCAAAACGTGTTTACAACACTTGCTGGGTAATTATATGCACTATAAAGACCGTAAGCGTTCGATTTACGGTCACAATCAGTGCTTACTGCAGCGATGAGGTCGTTTACTCTGTAATAGAAGACGTCGGTCGTGGAGTTTCCATTGGATCGTTAATTTAGAGTGCTGGGTGTTTAAAACATGCCGGTGGCGAGTCCGCTGAAGGGATGCTGCAGCAGTTGCTCTATGCGCAGGGATGCAGAGTTCCTGTAGCCGTGCATGTGGAAGCAGGTGGCGGAGGAGGAGGAGGAGGAGGGTGGGGGTTGCTGCAGTGGTGATGTGCTCTGAAACCTCGAGCCAACGCGATTTAAACAGGAGAGAGTAGCGCAGCAGCCGCTTCCATCTCTCCCTGGCTGGAGCTGCTGCCGGGTCACGTGACCTCATAGAGTTCGGTGTTTTAGTTTTGGATGATATACTAACGCGAATTCTACTGTATGCTATGCTTTTCTTTAGAGAATATGAAAGCGGATGATGAACATTTTAAACAGGTCACTTACCATCCACTCAGCTCTTTTGTTGTTTTGGACACTCATTTTAAGTATAGAAATGGAGCGTTTTTTTTTGCATTTGGGGCCTTTAAATTGTGACATTGTCTTAAATCCAAAGTAATCACAATAGAACATTTTCATTTTTTTATAACGAAATAGATGTTTAAAAAAATCTAATATTTGTGTTCTTCATTAGACCAGTTTGTGTATAAGAAATTCTAGCTTTTCAGTATTATCATTTTAACATATTATTCCATTAATCAAATTTGAACCAAATATACATATATTTGAATAAGATTTACCCCTCATATGTAGCTACAGTTCTGTATGATAGGGTACAATGGGGTTAAAGGCCCTTTGGATGTAACTACTTTTATCGTGAAACACTAACTCAACAAAAACACCACAGTACTCTCCTAAACATGGTGTACTGCAACAAATTGATTGGCATAAGTGGGGAGGAATGGATTGATTGTGATGATGTGCTTTGTGGACCACATATTGACTGCTTCAATCACAATAGAGATTTATTTGTGAAATGCGCATAAATAGTTTCAAAATACCATAGTGACTAAGATTATTGTTACTGCAAGTCGCCACAATTCATCAGGCGTTAATACTCACTAAAGGGAAATTTTTAGTTCCATTAAATTCTTACAAAAAAATCGTTTTGTAAGAGAGAATGCTGCTCATAAAGCATATAACATTGTGCACTAGAGAAAGAGAGATGCATTGCATGGCGTTTGGCACAATGCCGATACACAACTGTAGGTGGGGTAGACCTTATGTATTATTCAGCTTCGTCTGAAACCGCAGCATGTGCTAGAGTACAGCCAATATCGATTGATGCTGAATGCCATTTAGCAGAGCAGATGTACCGATCACCTTAATTAATTGGCGATTCCGCAAAAGGTCTTGGGAGAGGTCTCATTCGTTTCAGGAAAAAAGATTTGCCTTTGGTTTGGTTGCTGTCCTTTTGAAAGCATTTGAAGAGTTTGCATATGACGGATTGTTTCTGTAGGCCTCGTTCCTGGCAGTTTCTCAACGCTGAGGCCTAATTTAAGTGTGCTAGATTCGAAAGCCCATTTCTCTCTCTACTTGCTATTGAAATTCAGACCAGAGAACACATGTGGAGCACTGCTGTTAGACCCTGAATGTAATTAGACTCGTCCTCAACCTCGTGGCCCTACAGTGCTATGCCAGACATCCCGCCACCCGACTTCAGAACAAATGACACACGCAGGAGGTGTTGGAAAAGAGATGACTGGTCATGATCTGGGTTAGGGATGAAAGAGTGTTCTGCACTATTAAAAATAAAGCTTTCAAAAGGGGGTTTTCACAGGGATGCCTCAGAAGCGTCATTTTGGGTTCCCCAAAAGAGCTTTCAGTGAACAGTACCATTTTTTCTTACTGTGAAAAACAATTTAGTACAATGGAAAGATTCCATGAATGTTAAAGGTTCTTCATGGAACCGTAGATGCCAATAAAGAACCTTTATTTTTAAGAGTGTGTAACCCTCTTCATGAGGGCAGTTTCTGCAGTTGCGGCTGCGTTATAATGTGCCAGACAACACGCTAGCATGCAAATGTACTTTAAAACACACATGCTCTAGATTATTACAAGCAGCCTAGCTACCAGATGTATTTTAAGTCCCAATTTCTTACTGTAATCCTACCGCTGGTCTATTTTCAAAGCACTTCTGTTTGTGTATGTAGGGTCAGAGCGTCTTTTATTTAGTGTGGATCACACGCTGACTTCCCTGACTGTATGCAGAGCTCACAGCTCCCTGTGGAACTGACATAGTTACTATTGTAGTCGCAGCTGCAATCTTGCGGAGTTCACCCTCAGATAAATCAGGAAATGGGCGTCGTCTTTTTGCTTCTTGTAGTGTATTACATTAATTCCAGTTTACTTTAAATGGTTACTGAAAATACGTAGGCTGCAATTATAATATTAGTGGCAATTTGGTTGCACGGCGAGGGAGTTGCAATGTTGTTTATGATACAGTAATTTTATTTGCCTTTCTTTGATGCGTGGTCGTCCTTCACCTCCCGCCATTCAGTTTCGCCTGTGAGAGGCACACTGAGCCAATCTGCTCACTGTCTGTCGTTTTCTCCCCCTCTCCTTTTCTTTCTCTCTCCTCACGTAACACACACACATGCACAGACTGCCACAGAGGGCCTGACGTTTAGACTCCCTTGCCATTAGCAAAGCATCATAGTTGCCATGGAAACGGCACCATGGGATTTTGCTGCTTGCTTCCCACCATACCAACTGTTGTCATCTCTTCCCAGCCAACTGGATCAGCTTTGCGATCTGGACAGGAGAATTTACACAGTAGTTTGTTTGACACTAAAGCTACTGGTGTGTAAAAGTAGTTAATATTTTAAACTAATCAAGTTAGTGCATTAAAATTAATCTTAAATCATGACCCAATTAGCGTCAAACATTTTATTTGTCCATTATCATAGGCGGAGGGTGAACCAACTCCAGGGTAAGGCTAAAAGCAGCCAAATGTATTAAACATCATAAACCCGTCTTTTTAGGCAAGAACCAGACATGGGTGTCATGTAGGCTAAAAAAAATGTTTAATGGGACT